GCTGGCAGAGGGTTGCAGGAAGCAGTCCTAGCCTAAAACGGAGCTTGGGAGAGCTGCACACAGCCCTCCTGAGCTCAGTTTTCACTGGCAGAGGCACCGTGGGCCAGTCCTTTGATGTTTCCAGGGTGCCCTTGTGGGCCATATTTAAGCACCCTGAGGTTTGGATCTGGCCCGTGGTCCTTGAGTTTGACATCCCTGCTCCACTTCAAACATACATCCATATCTGGATATTTATCCTGATTCACTGCAGTCATTTAGCACTGAATCCCTTGACTTAACAGAATTTAGTCCCAAGTAAGCCCACAAGCCATTAAATTACACATGAAAAATGTCCCTGAAATGTGATCATATTAATTCTGTAGACGTTAATGAACACATAACTGTTAATTTTGTTAGGATATAGTCAAGCCCTTTTCAGTTATTTAGATCAGCAATGGGCACCTACACCTCAAGTCCAATAAGATTTTGAAAAATAGTAGTGATAGAGGAAATGGGAAAGCTCTGGGAGAAACTCTGATCCCATTACTATTTGTAAACTGAGCACATCATGGATGCAAAAGGTTCAGTTCTGCCCCTTGAAAAGACTCAAGGTATAATCTGGTAGAGATTGGTTGAGCTAAATGTTGAGGTGTGCTTCAAACTGGATGGAGATAAAGCTAAATGTTGGCCTGAGCTCTCTCCTCATTAGCCAAAGATGTGAAGGAGGCCTGTGTTTGTAATGACACAGTCAGGGACTGTTACTAATATAGGTTATAAATCGAATATATCATTTGAGACCGTCAGAGTCCCAAATGATATATCAGATTGCAAATCTGGCTTGCTTTGACTTTTAAAATAAGTAATTTGTAAATATGCAAGGCTGACATACATTGAAACATCTTGCCCTGTGTTGAATTGTAATAGATGGATTTGGCCTTTCTGCTGGAACACTGTTCTAAATAAAAAAGGGAAGGCAGTGCATTCTTTTTTTTAAAAAAAGAATCATTATGACATTTCTTCTAGAAAAGGAGGATTGAGCAAATATCAGTAAGGAGCAGCAACTGGTAATATGAAATACTTGTCTGGTTTACGAGCAGTTGCCACTTGGAAGGTCTGAGGCTGACGTGGCTGAAATCTTTCAGATTGCTTCAATCTCCGTGTCATAAATCCGCACATTAAGAGACATATGTAGCTAAGTTAACAGGGCTCTTAGTTCAAGTATCACCTAACCTCCTTCAGACCTAACCCAACATATACCTTGAATCAAAATACTTAACGTGGGGCAATAACTTTTGGATGTTGTAATCTTTTAGCAAAGCCTCAGCCAATGCAAAAAAAATAATAATAAAATCAAAAGGATCAACCTTTATTGGAGAGGGACATGGGTCCCTCTTTATTATTTACGTTGATACATTTAAGCAAATCCATGCACGTATGGATTTCCCCTTTGCTTATATGCCTTGGTGCGGCTGAATCCAGTCACTGTGACTTAACTGTATCCAGCAAATCATAATTAGAACAAAACCAGGGCTTTAGTCTAAGCATCCTTCCTGAAAGGATCATGGTTTTTTTCAGTTAGTCTTTTATGTATTTCGCATTATCTTATTACACACAATGGTACCACCACAGCCATCTCTGAAAGCGCACAAGGCTGTTTGGCAGAAAGATTCCTTGCCTGTCAAAGAGAGTCATTAGCATTGACCTTGAAAGGATTTTGCCTTTCTGGCTTATTACAGGAGTGCTGTAATCAGAACAAGAGCCCAGAAAGCCATGTCAGAGCAGGAAACAGACAGACTAACCTAAGTGGATGTACAGAAGTAATTGGTGACATTGTTTGATTCTGTTAGAAAATTAGGACTTGTTTCAAGACCAGGGAAATCTATTTATATTCTGGGTGATTTTTCTTTTTCTTTTGCAGTGCTCTGGTCTTTTTCTCATGAAAGCTAAATCTCTCTCTCATTAAACTGGAGTAGCTTCTTGCTAGGATCTCTTTTGACAAGGAGACAGCTCTAGGTAGGAAAAAAAACCTCTCTCTTCTTAGAATCAGCCGGTTTTATTCACCTTTCTGTTTCCCTTGTTTTCTTCAGCCATGGGGAATGCCTGCAACTTCTTCACCAGAGCAGCCCTCTGGATGTCAGTTGAAGTCTTGTAGTGAACCAATGTCTCTGTTGAAACCAAGGAAACGGATTTCCTACAGGAAAACTTCTTGGTACACTACAGCACAGTCCCCCAACCTTTCTGGGTTGGCGGTCTGGAGGGAGAGAGGGGCAGGCGCCTTTATGCGCACAAGCGAATGGGGTGGTGAGCATGTGATGCTTGTGGCGATGGCAGTGCCCACGGTGACAGTAGCATCCGCACAGCACTCACGCAACGCTAGCACGAGTGGGTGGTGTGTGCACACACACACACGTGCCCACTGGCCAGCCACTCATGAGGCTCAGTGGCCAAGAGGTAGTGGCCCGTGGCCCACACATTGGGGAGTCCTGCACTACAGGATCTTCTTGGTACACTTGTATGCTTTGTGGAATTTTGCCATCACTGAAATAGTCACCTTTGCTGCCCAAAGGGACTTTAAAGCTGTAAAGCTGTTATTATTAAGGAGCTCTGTTGAGACAGATGTTTTTCTATAGCCACCAACCCTCCCCTCCCCAAGTGACTGAACTTCTTAGGGGATCCCAAGGCTTTTGGTCTTAATTTAATCCCCACTTAGTCAAAAGAGCCAAGTGACTTTGGGCCACTCACTCTTTTCAGCCCCCCAACCTCACAAGGTCGTTGTTGTTGTTGTTGTTGTTGTACAGAAAACAGGAGGTGGGGACGTAATAGTTATGAATATATGCTGCCTTGAATTGGACAAAATCTGGATGGCCAGTCGTCAACATCATGTAATAATTTGAGTTTTTTGGATTCTACTTTCTATCTTGCTCAGAGCACAGGGTGGAATTCAACTCATCTAGGACTATTTAATTCAGCGCTGTACAATTTTCGTGCAGTTGGAAGATTCCCTGTAAAAGTCACAGGATGGTCATTTGGAGCCAAAGGCATTCTACCCCCTATTTATGTGGGCCTCATTAGCACGTTGGTTCTCCATTCCAGGGATGCTGCCACAGAAGATATATTTATCTATGGTGGTTAACAACAAGGCTGGATAGCGATGAAATTCTTTGTGTGTATACTGAATGGACCCAAGAGCAAGGTCTCCTTCAACACCAGCCTAGCTTCAAGAATTCTTTCTTTCTGAACAACAACCTTGAACGGTGGCACTTACTTGAACGAAGCTGAATTCCCTCCAGTTGAGTGAGTTAGAGATGGATGGAAGGGAGGTTATGGCAAGTAACGAGAGCAAGCCCAGAGCCATGATGCCAAAAGAGATGTATATCTCCATCCTCCAGACTTCCTCTTCCACCCAGGCGTCTGTTCTCTTCTCCACCTGAAAGTATAAGTGGCAAAGTCATGTTGAATAAACTAAGAAATTGGAAACAGGATGGCAAACCGAATAATGCTCGAGGGAGGGCTTAATCTCCATATAATGTCTGCCAGCTGCAGGATATCTGGAAACTCTGGACAAAGGAAGCTTGTCTTCATCCAGCTTTTTTTTCTGATCAGATACTGATTCTTAACCTCCATTTGACGTGAAGAAATAGGAGCGGGATTTTTTTTCATAACTGGAAATAGTCACAAGGGTTCCAACAGTCAGTTTTGGCCCGCTCTTACCATCGCCCTAGGCAGCTTCACACAGCTTGCATACATAGTATGGAGCTGTTTCGTAATCATTCATCAATGATAGTGAAGTTTAAATAGTTTAAGCTGGCACGTGGTTGACTCCCACAACTGAAGTACAAGTCTTTCAGTTGTGCCACTGGCTATCATCTACAGCTTGCTTCCTATTGCTCTTAATACTGGATAAAAGGAGTGTTCACCTGTGTTTTCAATGAAGCACGCTGCGTGCGCGTGTGTTGGATTTTTAGTATTGTCCTCCAAAAGTTTTCTTTAAGTCACTTATTGGCATCTAAGTTTACTTAGGGTTTTGCTACTTGTAGGCTGAAAGGAAATTCTTTCTGGATCACGATCTGTTTGGAAACGACTTTCCTAGAGATGTACATGTATCAATCCAATCAACAACTGTATAACATAGCGTAAAAATATTGCAAAGAAAAAGCTTCAGAGCTCAGTTAAACTTTGTAATTGTGCCATGAGGCTTAGGGCTGGGCAAAAACTTTTTTCAACCAGCAAGATTTGACCGATTCCTTTTCCTGGGGGACACATGTGGCTTGAAGCAAAAATATGAATTTAGTTCTGCTGCATGATTGTATCCCCCACTTATCTTCACTTACGATCTGGTGCCAATAAAAAGAGTGAATCCCACTTACAGTCCCACATAGGTGTCTGGATGAGACTGACAGCTGGATTGGCAACATAACTATTATTCTAAACCCAGTCACATGTATGGGAGCCACCAAACTGATTTCCCCATATAGTTGAAATGTGGCAGAAAGAAAACAATGTCTATAATGTTCACCGACCTCTGGAGGGATGTGCTAGGAACTTGGTGCCCGGAAGATCAAACCACACTTTGCCATTTGAAAGATACAGTTAAAAATGGCAAAGCGGCTCCAGTTTCAAGCAAAGACCACAAAAGCATCACTCTTTGAATGCTGGGCTGCTTAAGGGGCTTAATGGGATTTGGTTTAAATGCTTTTAGGAGAGAAGTCTTCAGGCTAATGGAAAAAAAAAAAAACCTCCCAGAAATGGGATTTGTACTATATTACAGAGAATGACACTTAGCTCCTTCCATTTATTCTGTTAAATCAATGTGATTCATGAAACCGGGGGGAGAGAAATAACTAGCATAAGAGAAACAAACAGGCCAGGAAAACTTGCCTGAGATTTATTTACAAAAATCACCAAAAAGAAACAGGAGCAGAATTAAAAGCTGGGGTGGGGATACTGTGTTCCTAGCAGCAAATACAGGAAGGCGACTGGGCAAAAGATCATGCAGGCAAGCTAGCGTGGAATGAAAAATCTTGTTGTTTTACACTGCATCTCTTATTCACTTACTTAAGTAGTACTGAGGTCCAATGGCCTCAATGAAACTTCATCAAGTTTAGAATCTATACTGATAGGAAAAAAATACTGGTAGTTCAGGGTTGAACTATGGGGTCTTTGCTGTTCTCTTGAGCTTGGTAGTTTTCTAGCAGATATTTCATTACCAAACTAGGTAACCTCATCAGTGCAAGACTCTGAATGTTCTGGCCTGGCCTGATATATGAAACAACCAGTGCTAATTTAGAAACTGGAGTGAAATCATTCTATCAAAGTGTTCCATAGAAATCATCTACTCACACCTGAGATGTTGAGGTTAGGCATGGATCTTGACTTCCACCCAGAAAGAAACCACTTTTCTAACTTCTCAGAAGGGCAAAGGAAAACCAGGAATCCAGTTCACACAGGATTCCAGTTCCAGTTCACCTTCTAACCCAGCTTTCCTCCTACTGGCTCATGTGAATGCTATGTTCAGGATCTCCTTTTCGTCCTTGGAGAATGGGAAACTGGGCTGAATCATTCATTTCTTTGGGAAATGCTTAGAAGCCTAAACTAATTTTTGGGATGGAAAATCCAGAAAATGAGAGTGGAAGGGGACTAAAATCTCATGTTTTGTTGCAAAGCTCAGCCAGTTCTATCTAAATAAGACAGCATGGTTAATCAGAACAAAATGCCAGAACGAACCCCAATTTTGTATCTTTTAATTGTACAAACATCACAACCAGAGGTGGTATTCAGCAGGTTCTGACCAGTTCTGGAGAACCGGTAGCGAAAATTTTGAGTAGTTTGGAGAACCAGCGAATGCCACCTCTGACTGGAGATTTTACAGTATCCTTTCCCTGCCACGCCCACCAAGCCACACCCACAGAACCAGTAGTGAAAAAAATTGAATCCCACCACTGATCACAACAATGGGCTCTGAGCTTGTTTTCTTGCAAGTGTTTCATTACCAAAGTAGGTAATACCGTGTTTCTCACAAAATAAGGCTGGGCCTTATTTTTTTTTTGAGCCCCGAAAAAATGGCTAGGACGCCTTTTCGGGGCTGAATTAATTTCTGCCCCCCCCCCCCCCCCCCCCCCCCCCCCCCCCCAACACGCCCCTGAGTCGTCCCTGCTTTTCCCCCGTCCCCGTAACAACAGGAAAAAAAAGATTTTGAGGTACCTGGGAGCGCCGCGCGCTGCGTTTTGGTTTAATCCCGAGCGGCTGGGTGGGCGTGAGAAGAGCCGAGCGAGCGTCTCTGCTGCTGCTACCCTTGGTGCTCCAGCCTCGGGCTCTGCAAGTTTGGAAAAGTCCCGGTGCGCAGCCCGTTCCTGCATTCCAAGCGCCCAGGCTAAGCTGCAGCTGTCCCTCTCTCGCCAGCACCGTCCCCAATAACAGCGGCAGCAGCGGCAGGAACCGTGGAAGTTACGGAGGCAGCTCCCCCACCTGAGAAGTGGCTGAAATGCTTCCATGGTTCCCCCTGCTGCTGCCGCTGTTATTGGAGATGGCACTGGAGAGAGAGGGACAGCTGCAGCTCGGCCTGGGCGCTTGGACTTTTGCAAACTTGCAGAGCCTGAGGCTGAAATGCTTCCACGGTTCCCGCCACTGTTATTGGAGATGGTGCTGGCAAGAGAGGGACAGCTGCAGCTCAGCCTGGGCGCTTGGAATGCAGGATCGGGCTGCGCACTGGGACTTTTGCAAACTTGCAGAGCCCGAGGCTGGAGCACCAAGGGTAGCAGCAGCAGAGACGCTCGCTCGGCTCTTCTCACGCCCACCCAGCCGCTCGGGATTAAACCAAAACGCAGCACGCACCGCTCCCAGGTACCTCAAAATCTTTTTTTTTTCCTGTTGTTATGGGGACGGGGGAAAAGCGGGAGCGACTCAGATGCTGTTGTTGGAGACAGTGCTGGCGAGAGAGGCACCAGCACCGGTGGGAACCGTGGAAGCTACGGAGGCCTGAGAAGCAGCTGAAACGCTGCTGGACATCCACGCCACCACCCACCTGCTGACCCAGGTAAGGGAGGGGTAAGGGAGCCCTCCGTGCTCCACCATGGTGTTAGGAGCGGCTGATGGTGAGGCGTACCTGCCCACGGGGCACTCCTAATGGCAAGTTTCCCCCCGCCTTCCCCCCCAATTTCGCATGTTTTAAACTAGGCCTAAATTTGGGGGGAGGGGCTTAATTTCATTTTATGCCTAGAAAACATGCTGGGTCTTCCTATTGGGGAGGGCATATTGTTGGAGAAACACGGTATAATTAGTGCTAATGAAATATTTGCAAGAAAACAACCAAGCTTAGAGAGCGTCAAGACCACACAGTTCAACCTTGAGCTACAAATATTTTCTTCTTTTGATTACAACTATAGAAAGAGTGAATAGTGGGCAATCCAAACTTCCAGGACTGAATGTGGCCTTCAGCTCTTCTTAATCAATGAAGCCCTTCTGAGAATATTTAAAAACTGTAGGGTTAATCCTGATAGAAGCTTAGTGAAGTTTTTCTCTCTCCTTAAAGTAACAATCTCCAAACTCTTTCACTCCCAAATCTAAGAGGAGGCTCCCATGGCATTCTGATCCTGCCCATTTTGTATCACCACTCTACTCCACCTACTGGTGCTCCCATCCTGCCAAAATATAACTATGGGTAGTCCTTGATTTATGACTGCAATTGAGCCCAAAATTTCTGTTACTAAGATAGTTGTTAAGTGAATTTTCCCCATTTCACCACCTTTCTTGCAACGGTTGTCCAGTTACCCAGTTATTAAGTGAATCTGGCTTCCTCATTGACTTTGCTTGTCAGAAGACCGCAAAAGGTGATCACATGATACCGGGATACTGCAACCGTCATAAATATGAACCAGCTGCTAAGCACCTGAATGTTTATCATGTGACCATGGGGGATGCTGCTAGGGTCATATGATAAAGGGTTGTAAGTCACTTTTTCAGTTATGTTGTAACTTTGGTCACTAAACAAATTATTGTAAGTCAAGGATTATCTATATAGCCCACCAGCTATCACAGGGGAGTCAAACTCAAGGTCTGGGGGCCGGATCTGGCCCATAGGGTGCTTAGATCTGGCCTGCAGGCCCACCCTGGAAACAGCAAAGGATTGGCCCACGGTGCCTCTGCCAGTAGAAAGGGAGCTTGGAGAGGCCACATGCAGCCCTCCCGAGCTCCATTTTTGTGGCAGAGAGCTACAGGAGGCTGTTGCAGCCAAAAATGGAGCCCGGGAGGGCCAAAAAAGGAGCCTCAATGAGCGACATCAAGCTGTGCACTCCCACCCTGGCCACACACATATTCTTGCCCCCCTCAGGTCAAACACAACCTTGAAGTGGTCCTCAATGAAATCAAGTTTGACAACCCTAAGCTATCCCAAGCTTGCCTGCTGCTGGATTGAGGCAATTTGGAATGAAGCAGCGGAGCCAGGGATTCCTAAGATCACGCAATGAAAGGTGTAAGCAGCCAGTTTTCCAATCTCCTTTCCTGGGAGTACCATACCTGCTTGACCGCCTCGTTGAGCAACAGATAGCGGTGAGACCGGCGCATGGGTAGGCACAGACTGTAGGCAGCATGCAATGCTGCGCAGAAAAAGCTCAGGAGGCCTATCTGCTTCCGGTGTTGTAGCCACTGGTCGAGCCAGTCAGGGAAACGCCGGTACTTTGTGCAGTGGTACAGCTGAAAGATGGCTGCGAGCACTCCAGGAAGGTAGACCAGGGACAGCATGACGTAGGCCACGCAAGGCAAGGTGGTGTTGACGATCTCCACAGGGATCTTGTAGAATTTGTTCTTCTTCTCTCTAATGTAAGGATGCAAGACTTGCCGTATGAAGTTGTAGGTGTAGAAGCAGAGGAAGAGGCCCAGGGCCAAGAAGACAGGGATCTTCCAGGCAGGGAGGAGACGCAGGGGGATATTCTCTATTTCCCGAGCTGAGAACAAGGCACCCATGTCCACCGGTTTGAAGCCCAGGGCATGAGCAATTTCAGCAACAGCCTGTTTGGCTTCTTGGTTGTCAGAGCAAATGAAGACCTGCAACGAAAAGTGCGGGGAGGGAAATTGTAACCAGGAATCCAAGGCAGTGGCGCAATCAAAGGAATCTTAGCAGCATAGGGTTGCCTAGTGGTTAAGGTTTGAGATTTGGACCAGAGAAGCTCAGCTTTAAATTCCTATTCAACCATGGGATTCACTGCTGATGTGGGGCCATTCCCTTTCTCTCCAACCTACTGCACAGAGTCAAATGAGTGGAAATCCACGTGTATATTGTATGAGCTCTCAGGAGAAAGATAGGATATAAATGTGGATAGATGGGTAACAGCAGCAGCAGGAAGAGCAGTGAAAAATGATTAACCTAACAACGTTTTCTTTTCTGCTCTTGGATGCTTTTATTTCCTGTGATAGCCTCATTCTTGAATGCAGAAATAAGCATTTTTCCCAGTGAACCATTATGAACAACAAGAGGTTTCTGGTGAGGGATCTTAAAAAGGTACTGAAGTACTTGATTATATGAATTTTAATGAATTTAATATAATTTTCTCTAATAATGACTATGTCAGTTACAAGGCCAGTCAGAATTTGATGCCCGGGCCTTGAGGTGCAGAACTATATGCAAGACTGCAACAATCTGGGTAGTAAAAATAATTCAGATATTCATACGGGCATGCTAATTACACATTCTTAGTCATTATATATATGCATAAGATGATCAGCCTGATGGCGGCGTGTTGGTGTAGAGGTAGAGCTCAGGCTTCACAAGCAGGAGGCTGTGAGTTCAATCCTTGGTAGCAGCAGGTATTTCTCTCTTTGGAAGCAAAGAAAAAAAATATCTGCTGTGAACTCTGCACAGGCATCAAGAAGGGCATCCAGCCAGTAAATGCTCAGCTCTGTTTAGTCACCCTGATTCCAGCTCATTGCAAGGGATTACAGGGTGGTTAAAAGAAAAAAAATGGTTGCCCATCCCACACAAGGTAACTCTGATGACTTAACAATCATACATGTATGATGGGAGATGTGTGTCTGTATCTGTATACACACACACACACACACACACACACACACACACACAAAAATACACAGTATATCATAAATAAATGAATCCAATTGCTAAAAGCCAATTAAAGTTGGGGAGGGCAGGGCCAGAATGGGAAGGGAGATAGGATCTGTTGTTAATCAATCAACCTCCTCCACTGGAATCTTCCCCCATCACAGTGGAAGCGGTTGATGCTTTCCCTTTTTTCTCAAGCTAAATTCACACAGTTTCCGATGGGCTTCGTCTGGGTCTGAAGCTTACGCAGAACAAACTGGTTGAACAAACTACGACTTCTTCCTAGGAGGGGAGAATCTCGGAATCCCAGAGATGCTGATATGTCCACAATGTACCAAAGGGAGGGGGAAAAAAACAACAACCATTACCTGTTTGTTCCCATCTCTGGGACCCGACTGCAGGGTCCAGGCTGAAATGACGTTAAATCCTTTGACCACAGTGCAGGCTGGCAAAAGCGAGGCTAGATACTCTGCATTGGATTCTTTGTGATGATTTATTTCAGCATTGTTGCTAACATCCACCAGTACTTTGCCAGAAAGCTCGTTGTTGTAGTCACAGAGCGTGGTGTAGTGTTCTCTGAAAATTGCCACAAAGATGATATCGGCCTTCTTTATGGCGTCTGCCTGGCATGTTACTTCAACTGCAGAAGGAAAGAGGCTGGTGTTGAGCTTTGGGTTCCGGCTTCCGACCACCACTTTGAAACCTGAGCACACCAGGCGCATGGACAAGGAGCGTGCAAAGTCGCCACTTCCCAAAATCCCAATTGTCCTGCTCCCAGAAGCTGGGGCCAGGCTTAAATTACTGTCCTCGTTCTGATGATTTAGCAATGGTTTGGCCATGTCGCCTCCTGGCATCCTGTAAAGCTAAAGCAAATAAACACAAGGTCATATTAAACATCCCTATGGGTTGTTTTCATGAAGGCAGAAATATCTGTTTGATTATTGATGTTAAGTCCTACGCTGAAAGTTCTTTGAATACCTCATATTTTAAAAAAGAATAATTTCTTATATCACAGTAGAATGCAAATACTAAATGTCATTATAAGCCTAATCAGTAAATAATTAAAACAGGCTTCATTTGTCATTAAAATTTAATTTGTCATTAAAATGTTGAATTATGCTTAAGTATTAACTCATTAAGTAAAGAATACACCTACCTACAAACTTTATTTAAGCTTACTTCCAAAACCTTTAGTGTTTCCTGATGAAGAGCTAAATTTTACTTTAAAGGCAAGTCTTAATTTGATTTTATAAATACACAATGTTTAACAGAATATTTTTAGCACTTGAATAAATATGAATTAGTAAATATTACACATTTCCAGGAGTAGCTCATAAGAAATAAATTTCATGATGTTTCTATGCTTCTTAGTTTATTTAAAACATTGTCCAAGAGCCTTTATTGTTTTTGCATTATGTTTAGAGAACACTCCAAAAACTTATCTGCAGTAAAGATTCTGGAATAAATATAGATTAGAATTGCATTTCATAATATGAAACCCTCTGATTTGAGAAACCGTTCCTGTAATTACAGCAGAAACATTCTTACATTATACTCAATTTAATCCAATGAACAAAATTATCAGCTTAAAAAACAGATCAGTTTTTGAGCTCTATTTCAAAAGTTCCTTTTAAAAGCACTCTTAAAAGCTATTCCCTTAAAGCAGGCATGATTGACATGCAGTCCTTTGGATGATCTTGGACTATAACTCCCATTATCCCCTCACTACTGGGCATACTAGCTAGAGAAGATGGGAATGAGAGTCTAAGGACATCTTGAGAGCTAATTGTTGTCCAGTTCAGGCTTCAAACAAACAGAACCTTAGCTGTCTAAGTGAAATTAAGATATATAAATATTCAGTTATGTCAATATAGAATTTACCTAGAGATTTTTCTCGTGAACCAGCGATGCCTCAAACGTGCAAGCCGTTCTCCCTACGGATAAGAAACTGTCCTCGTCTCTTTTATAGTCTGGCACCTGTGTTTTGCAAACTGCTATTCAAAATGAGCAAGGGCAGATTTGCAAAGTTTTAAATTAAACATTGTGCTCTCTTGTTTTGATAGGCCAAGACAATGGATGATGCAATACATATAAATCTGAAGCATTACACCCTTTGAAAGTGTAAGCAAAAGAATGGTATTTTTAAAAGGAGAGGACCAGCTTAAGTCTGTACTCTCATTAATGGTAGATTTAACTAAGACCATTGTTTGAAGTCAACATGACTTAAGACAGCTTGTTCAAAGGTTCTTTATAAAGGAGTGTGGTCTAGTACGGCTGTTTAAAACAGGTGAGTCAGAGACCATGGGTGGTCCACTAAGCCTTTATTTTTGCTGATTCATATGCAGTGCTTATCTGTGGCAAGACGGCCTTGGATATACAAAGATGACTGTTCCTTTCCAAAATTGGAACTAACGTAAATCCAATGAAAATGATCCCCCTCCTGGGTGCAACAGTACCATTAGTTCTGATTCTGTTTGGAGCTCATGTGATACTGGTGGGGAAAGAGCAAGGTGGTGTTTTTTTTAAAAATCCCCAATTTTTAATTGCAACCGCTTGTCCTTTCTTTCCAATCACAGGAGTAGCAAGAAGGACCTGGCATCTCAGTACAGGCAGGGAGAATTAGCCACGGCCCTGGAAGAATTTCTTTAGTGGGTAAACGCAGACAAGATTGTATAAAACAGGGGTATCAAACTTAATTTCATTGAGGGGCACATCGGGGGCCAGGGTGGGCATGGCCAAGGTGGGTGTGGCCAGTTCAACATCACTCGTGTTGAGGGCGCCTGTGGGCAGCCCGAGCATTTTGCCAGTGAAAACGGGCTCCTGAGCTCAGTTTTCGGTTACGATGGCCTCCTGCAACCGTCTACCAGTAAAAATGGAGCTCGGGGGGGCCGCCCGTGGCCCTCCCAAGCTCAGTTTTCACTGGCAGAGGCACTGTGGGCCGGTCCTTCGCTGTTTCCAGGGTGTTTCCAGATCTAAACACCCCGGATCTGACCCCTGGGCCTTGAGTTTGACACCCCTGATATAAAATCTAAAGGTTTTCCTGTCCAGTCATGTCCAATTCTAGGGTGTGTGTGTGTGTGATGCTCATCTCTGTTTCTTAGCGGTGTTCTCCGAGGACGATTTCTGTGGTCAGCCTAGCTATATGCCAAAGGCACATGGAATGCTGTTACCTTCCCACAAAGTGGTACCTTTTTATCTATTCTCATTTGCATGCTTCCGAACGGCTAAGTGGGATGATATTAGTTTTGCACAATTCATTTCTCTCTAGGGCTGCATGGATACATGGCTGAAGTCTCCGTTCTTCAAAATGCAATTTTTGAAATATTTAAAAAATGTAAATCACTTTTAAGAGCAGTCCCAAAATTATCAGGAGTATGACACTGTTGGGAATTGTTATGCATTTGGGATTATGGTTAGGCACTTGGGGTCTGTATCATACCAATTTACACTTAGCTGGTATATATTATTGGATTTTATTTCATATACCGATATTGTACACTTTGAGGAGCCAATTTAGTGTAGTTGTTAAGGCAGCACCTAGAAACTGGGACACTATGAGTTCTAGTCTTGCCTTAGGCACGAAGCCAGTTGGTGATCCTGGGCGAGTCATTGCCTTGGAAGGAGGCAATGGCGAACCACTTCCAAAAATCACTCCAAGAAAATTGCAGGGACATGCCCAGGCCCAGGAGTGAAAAACTCACTCGGAGGAATACGCACAAGAAAAGAATCTTGAAAGCTCTAAGCAGCTTCTACTCAAGTTACATGAAAGACTGCATTTTTGTGTTGATCAGCTTTTTTTTGCATTCTCAACAGTAAATCTTACAAACCTACTTTACAAACCTACTACTGGTAGTAACAATCATTATCCTGTTGGCAGTGGTGGGCTGCAAATTTTTTAACAACCAGTTCTATGGCGGGGTAGGTGTGGCCGGTTGGTCATGTGACTGGGTGGATAACGTCACTCATCACACCCAGCTCTGCCTCCTGGCTACTCACCTCAAAGGAAGAGGTAGGATTCATCTAGTTAGGGCTCATCTTACCACTGGCTGGCCTCGTCCCACCCGTTTTTCAGCCTGTTTTGGGGTCATTTTCTCGGCCATTTTAAGGGCCATTTTTCAGGCCATTTTCCAGGCCAAAAATGGCCTGAAAACAGCCTGAAAAATGGCCTGAAAATGGCTCAAAAACAACCCACAAAGTGGCCTGAAAACGGCCCAAAAAACAGGCTAAAAAATGGGCGGGGGTGGGGCCAGCCAGTGGTGGGATTTGCCAGTTCACCAAACTGCACCTAATCTTAACTACCGGTTAACTATGCTTTAAAAAATTCATAGTTGATTATTTATTGTAACAACATATACAGAGAGATGTCTTGGGAGATTTTATTTTAAATGGCAGTCCACAAATCTTTTAAAATAAATAAATAATTACAGACTATGAGAGAGGTAGCCAAAACAGTCTTTATAAAAGGAAACGACTTTGGAGAGTTAAGCTTTTGTTGTTGTTGTTGTTCAGTGCAGCAGACATTTCAGGACATTTTAATCTGCAGCTCCGAATTGTTGGAAACGAAGGGGAAAACAACATCACCCAGCACCTAGCAAGCATGTTATTGGGACACAAAATAAAAGAAACCAACTAGCTATACAGGGGAATAGAAGCATCAACCAGAACAGCTTCCCTGAACCAAAAGAATGGAAGCTGTATCATTATGCAGCAAGAAGAATATGGATAAGATGCCACGGATAGGACCCTTTTAAACTCAAATGGTGCCTTTGGTGTATTTATTTGCAAGTTTTCCCATGAGACTATTAAGAGCTTGGTGGAAGTTTAATCACTTATCTTCGGGGGAGGGAGGAAGACAAAAAAATACTGATACAGGTAGCTCTATAATGACTGTAACAGTCCAAAATTTTTGTTGCTAAGCAAGACAGCCGTTGAGTGAATTTTGCCCCATTTTACAACCTTTCTTGCCACAGTTGTTGAGCGACTCACTACAGTTAGTAATACGGTTGTTAAATGAATCTGGCTTCCCCATTCCTGACTTTGCTTGTCAGAAGGTGGCAGAAGGCAGTCCCATGACCCCGGGGTACTGCAACCATCATAAATAGAAACCAGTTGCCAAGTGTCCACATTTTGATCATGTGACCATGAGGATGCTGTAACAACAGTGAGTGTGAAAACTGGTCATAAGTCAGTTTTTTTCCAGTGCTGTTGTAATTTCAAACAGCCACTAAACAAATGGTTGTAAATTGAATTATCGGGGAAGCTACACATCCTCTTCACACGACCTGTTTTTCCTGGTTACCTTCTGGGAGGAGGCTTCGTGGCAACCGAAGCAGAACATCCAGATTCAGACAGAGTTTTGTTCCATATAGCATCAACCTTGTAAACTCTCAAGTTTCCTCCTACTGCTATGTATTCAAGATGGACAGTGATTAATATTGATATGTTAGGGCGTAGGTATACACAGTACATATGTATATTTGTAACATGCCTATACATGTGTTATGTATGAGTACACTTTTGAGACCAGGCAACAGAATTTCATTTTTAATGTGTGCCCACAGAAAAAAAATGACAATAAAGGTTACCTTAAGACTACCTGTAACTTCTATCACCTCATTTTATTTCGATAGTCCTTGACTTATGACTGATCACTTAAGGCCATTCAAAGTTACGATAGATCCGAAAAAGGGGACTTACGACCCAGATCCAAAGTTACAAGGATCCATGGTCATGTGATTTAGCAATAGCAATAGCACTTAGACTCACATACCACTTTAAAGTGCTTTACAGCCCTCTCTAAGCAGTTTACAGAGTCAGCCTATTGCCCCCAACAATCTGGCTCCTCATTTTACCCACCTCGGAA